CGTCCAGACTAGACGCGATAAGTCGAACCCAGAAGTTCAATTGCCAGCCGCCGAACTAGCGGGTAAGTGTAGCCAAGGCCTAAGTGAAGTTGTATTTTATACCTACTCTTCGCTCACTTTATATGTGTGTGACTACCGAGCAAGGCAGTGAAGAATCAGGCCCCCGGCCTTCCATTAAGTTTGTTTTTTTTATAGAAATGAATTACACTGGTGCACATGAAGTAGCACAGACATTTGTGAAACCCTGCTATTCAGAGGGTTGGTCTTGACCATTACAATGTGATTCAGTCTGAGACTTGCTGTTATCAATTTTTCAAATACAGTACATTTAAGGGGAATTTTGAGAGTGCAGGGAATCAGACCTAGACAATGCATTTCTGGTGAATCGTTGTGGGAAAAGTAGGTGCAGAGGGCAACAGAAATGAGGATTCTGATGACAAAGGGCCTGTTTCTTGTTAATTAATGATCAATTTACCAGGGTGGCTGTGCAAATAAAATGGAGCATGCATCCAGTGACTGCTGGAGGGGAAGTTCTGTTCATTAGACCCATCAATCTTGTGGGTCAGTGGTAAACTCTCCTATTCATTCAGTTAATCAAAACTAGGGCCACAATCCCCCTAGAAAGGAGAGGGGAAATAACCCCAACTCTAGAAAATCATTTAAAGCAGTTTAGGTATCTCATTTGTCAAGAGCAGCTGTTCTCTGTGGTTCTAACTAGTTTTCTGTAAGTCTGTCTTGCCTCTGTACTTCCATGGTCACATCACCATAGTATACGAGTGAATCCTAAACATCTCTTTTGCACTGGTCAGTAAAAAAGATTTAGCCAAATGATTTCTGAATAAATGGTTGATAGATGATCATCAAGTGGTGCCTCTCAGACCCTCCCAAAAATCATTGTTACAATAAACAATGAGGGCCAAAGTCATCCCTAGTGTGAATCCATTGATATCAGTGGGGTAACCAGTGCCCTAAGGATGAATTTGTCCCCAAGAATTGTCTGTTAACATATACCTCTTTAAAGCAAATATTTTCAGAACCAACACACATTCTTTTCTGTGTTTGAAACTCATCTTAATTTGCAGCTTGTCACCTTTGCTTACAATTTGGTAGCTTTTGTTCATAGCTCAAATGGGTAAAGCTTTGTATTTCTGACTAGTTGATAATGGTATTTATTATACATTATAAAACTTTAATACAACAGTTATTACCAGATTATTGAATGAACATAACAAACTAATCAGTAGAACTCTAGTTATGATCAGGTGTTAGATTAAAGGTTAGAATAGACACTTTCATATTTGATTTAGGTTAAATTATGGCTTAAGTTGCTACTTCTACACATTTAACTGTAAGTCAAACATAAAATGAATCCTGTGGTTTTATAGCTGTAGACAAGAAATAGGCATATTTTCCTACTGATTGAGTACATTCATTATTTTCAACCAGATACAAACCTGTTTAACAAAAATCTTTGCTCCTAGCAGAATACAGAACAGAGAACATCCTGCAGGTACAAGTCTAAATAAGGGAAGTATTTAGTTACACTTTTTCTCTTGCACAGGGTTCACAAGATAAGGGGCTGGATATGTTACTAAACAAAATTTGCCTGGAAATCTAATGGAAAGTGTTTGTATCATTCCTTTCCACTTACCTTTGCCAGTTGTTCATGAATTTCTAACAAGCTTGGTCTGTTCATTTTGGCCCCACTGATGCTGCCAGTATTTCGATAATAATCAATGTTAGGAACTGCATCCACTGTATTATGGCCAAAGGTTTTTAAGTAATATGTGTTACTATGAGTATCATAGGGATGTAAATTTCCATCCGATTTAACAGTATCCCCATTTTGAAGAAAATTTTCATAAAATGCTCTATTTCCAGGCCTGTGACTGATCCTGTGTCTGCCATGTGCTTCTTCAGTAAATGATGTTTCTTCATAATGTGGAGGATCGGCATCCTCTTGGGGTGTTGCATTATTGTCATGGCTTTCGTTAATTACATTAACTTGAAACCTATTTGGACTTGGCTCCAAGAATATATTTGGAGAATTATTCATTGACATCTTCAGGGATGTTATGTGCTTAGGTCACCAATCTTTCTATTCTTCTGTAGTCGGAGGTAGTGTTGCTTTATCTGCAATAAGACAATAATGCTGTTGCATTTGAAAGATCTTGGTTCTTAATCTAGCAAAGTTCAATGGAGACTTTCTTGAAGTGTTCACTCCTAAGTATTCTTCTTAAGGTTGTCCTGCATGACTGTCATCAAAAGCATAAGTAAAACTTTTCTATATTTAATTAACTTACATAGTAAGGTAACTCTTCCATGATTTCTTAAAAAACCCTGTGAGACAGCAACCTTATAACTTTTTACAAACAGGGCCTGATCCAAACTCTGAGTCAATGTGTAATCAATAGGAGTCTTGCTATTTATCTCAATGGGCTTCGATCAGGCCCTAAATAGGCTAACACTATACTTAAAAGTAACTTTCCTGAGTATATTAACTTTTCAGGGACTAAACGTAGTACTTCTCTGAACAATGTACAGCCCAATGGTTCATTGAAGATGAAAGGAATGCAACATCTAGCCAAGAAGGATGGAATTCACCAGAGATCCTGCACATGGTATTTACCACTGCACATTGGTTGTTTTCACCCATAGTGCAGAAGTAAATTGACATGACTCTTCAAAAAATCCAATGTTTTTTTAAGTTAATTGTAATATATTAGACTATTAAAAATAAAACAAATAAGTCTTTACAATTTTCAGTAGTTCCAAAATGTGAAATAATTTATGAGTAGGTGACTGAAGCACTGAAAACTATACATTTAGATGTATCTAGGAGTAATGTCACATAAAGGAATAAATGTTAGAAAACTGAAATATATAAAAACATGTTTTTACTAAATTGTAATGAATATGTCCAAATAACTAAAGCAAAATGACAGTTATTTATTACTGAAATATATATTAGCAATAGTTTTAGGCAATACAAGATTCAAAGAATAATTTTACAGACCTGATCTTGCATTCCTTGTGTCCCCAAATACCCATTTAAGACCATTTGAAATAAATAGTGGCAGATGGTTAGAACTAAATGTGTGAGGGATGCAGAACTGCCCCCTGCTCCCTAAAAAAGGAAAAAAGGCTATATATAAGGCCCAGTCCTGCAAATGATTAAGCTTTCAGGATTGGGTCCAAGGAGAACAAGCTGTCAAGTTAGATTACTCTGAAATGGCATGTATTACAAATTATTTGTGATCTACTAAATCCTGTGCCAGACCAATATGATGCTTGAAATAATTGCATATATTGATTAATACTTTCAGTAACTAAAGAAATGTGATTTTACAACCCTGTGTAGAACAATTCAGTAAAAGTCCAATCCTGTCCCTGTTGAGCTCATGTGGGGTCTTGGGCCCTTTTGAAAATATATCTGATAGCAGGAAATTTTGGAGAAAAAACATGCAATATTATAAAAGGATTATGCCAACTGAACATCAGGTAAATAAATAAACCCATTAGAAGAATGAACTGAGAATTGAAAGACAAATTAACCATATCTATTGATAGATCTACATATGCCTACCTATATAAAATATCAAATAATCACACAGGGGAATTATAACTTGAAGAGCCCCTTAACCAAATACACTCAAACCTCATTATGAGACTTAGCTATAGCACTTGAATGCAAGTCAGATGCAGATTCTGTGAGTCCCATCTACTCTCGCTCTCTGTTTCTGTATATAGAATATCCTGCTGTAAACTCTCATCACAGCAAAATTTCTTTATAACCCTCTAGATATTGGTTTTTCAAAGCAAGCTGTTCTTTTCTGCTTAATGTTTTGTGAACTCCACCAGAAACAAGAAGTTCCTTCTTTCAGCTTCTTTGTTTGGTACTATTTTTCTTGGTCACCTCTGATCCATATTACATTTGTTATGTTATTGATTGGTAATCTCTGAGCATAGATTGTATGCTTTTCCCCTTAGCATAAAAATCTTTAATATAAAAAGAGTGCACGGAAATGAAATATTTTCTTACATAAATGCCAGATCCTGATCCTACTATAGTCAATAACAGTGTTGCTGCTGACTTCAGTAAAAAACAGATTTAGTCCTAACTCTGTACTTGTAGACTCTGGGTGAAATCCTGGTGCTTTGAAGTCAATGGGAATTTTGCCATTGGCTTCAGTAGACCCATAATTTCACTTTCCAAGTTTACTTCTATGGTAAGTGTTTCTGCCACTAGGGAAATAAAAGTCTCTTACCTTTCTGCTGCCTTTGCAAATAATGATTTTTTTTTTGCAGTAGATTTCCAGAGGTCTGTTAGATGCTGTTATTTGCCATTAAATTTAGTATTATTAGTATTATTGTATTATGCATAAGTTAACAAGCTTACACTGTTCAGGATAGTTTAACTTACCTCTCGGTCCCGTGCTGTAGTGTAGGGCAATCAGCCTCTTATTTACTTCTGTATATAGACTGTCCTTCTCACTTATGCATCATGGTTTTTACCTCATTGGCTAATTCTTTCTTCTGTGCAAAACATTAAGTGACTCACCCAACCCCTGTCTTTGACACATGCTCTAAAACGCTCCTAAATGACTGATTTAGAGGGACATTCTAGCTTGTTAAATATCAACTAGTAAATGAACCTGTTAATTCTTGGAAGGAACCTGTTAATTCTTGGAAAAACTGTGACTGCATGTCATAGGAGGAAAATAGGTTGGTTTGTTTTTCTTTAGAATTTATAAAATATAGCTACAGGCTTCTAGGCAGCTGTATCAGTTACTGTCCCATAATTATGGATCTGCTTATGTGCATTTGCACGTCAGTATGTCCTTCCTGTTTATTTCCTTTTAGATTGTGGATCATTTCATTTTAGATTTTTTTTTCTTTGATACCTTAGGGGATGGGGAAGAGATACAATAAGAGGTGGCTGAATTTACATTAAAATTTCTAAAACTCCACGACTGGAAATCTGATTTTAGCAGATCGCATTTGGAAGTTGAACAGTGAGTCCAGCAAGTAGTCCCATTAAAGTCAATGGAAAAGACTCATGGAATAAGATACTATTCATTATTACTGTGGTTATTTATTTTTTGTATTATGGTAGTTCCTGGAGGGCTCACTCACAGTTTAAATGTGTTTAGCTTTAAGCACATGAGTGACACAGGATTTGGGGACTTCATCAGCAGAGTCAAGGGAAGAGTAGGGACGGTTTTGTGGCCTGCAGCATGCAGGGGGTCAGACCAGATGATCATAATGGTCCCTTCTGACCTTAAAGTCTAAAGTCTATGAGACACCATTGGCTTGATTGGGACTGCTCATGTGCATAAAGTTAAATATCAGAGACGCCTTTGCAGGACTGGCGTCTGTATAGACACAGAGTGAGAGAAAGGCGGTATTATGATCTCTGTTTTAAATAGAAGCACACAGACAGTAAGTGACTTGCTCAGGGTCTCACTGGGAATGTGGAATCTGGGTCTCCTGAATCCCCATCCAGTGCCTTAACCACAAGTCCATCCATCTCAACAGTGCATGTAGCAGAATTGGGTCAAGTACTTATATCATTTGAAATGAACATGTTTATTTGTTCACAAACTACTCTGACTTCGCAATGGTGTGTTTGTAGGATCTGCCAACTACATAATTATCAGTAAACTCTCCTCTTGGGATTGAAACTCATGCCTATTGGGCGTAGTGTTTGAGCTTGAGCCTCCAGATGCGGTGAAGTTCAGCCTGTGTGAGTGATGTGCCTATCACCACATCTGAGACTTGGGCAGTGGCACTATCCAGGGAGTTAATATAAAGCTTCATGCTGAAGAAAGCATAGCCTAGCAGTCCGAGTATAGGTCTGGGTGCCAGGTACTCTGGCACTCTAAGCCTAGCTTTGGACAGGTCTTTGAAAAGAGTTTGGGAATTGTGTTTAAAAAACCAAAGTTTGATGGGGTCACACTTTGCTGGCACTATGTTTAAAATCGTGGCCTTGCTCAGCTCTTTGCTTCGGCTATAACACATTTTAGAACACCGGTTAGCCCCATCAACATCCCCTATTAACACTGTTAAAAACTGGTTTAGCTGGAAGCATGTTTATGCATAATCCTGAATTCATTTAGATCCCCAGCATGGATGAGACCACTGACTCTCCTTGTGACCTTGATGAGGTCATTTAACCTTCCTGTCTCCGTGCCTTGGTTTCCCCATCAGTAAATTGGGGATAAGAATACATGAGAGGAGAATCAGGCTGTGTGTGAACTTTTTTGAGTCTATTTCTGTTAAAAATCTTGCCCTGTATTTTTGAGGAAAGCCTTTTGAAAAGTTCCAGTTTGTGCACTCCTTCTTGTAGGCTTGAGTTTTTCCTTTTGAGGGAGAAACAACTAATGTTGCTCTGTAATCAAAATGGAATTTAGTACATGGCTATAACAAAATATTGTAAAGTCAAAGAACTAAGTACAGTTCATGGACCAGAGCATAAATGAAATAGTACATTATTTCTTGTTACCAAGATGAAAAGGATGAGCATGTGTACGGTGTGCTAAAGCTCTGCACTGGATAATTTTGCATACTTGATTTATGTTTGAATTAAAACCAAAATAAATAAAGTATATTCGAGCTATGTGGCCTCAAAGGTTTCTCACACTGGAACCTAAGCCATTTAAATGCTACATGTTCCAGGTCACAGCTTTTCACATTGTACACTTTGGAGAGTGGATGGAGAAGACCACCAAAAAGAGTCAGTACCGCCACTACTGTTCTCTTTCTTGCTATTAGCCTCAGGCATGATGTTCATGGCTTTTTCCATATAATCCAGTGTCTTTCCCCGTGAATGGCATTTTGCTTAGCCAAGTTCCCTTCACTGCCACTTATCTAGCAGATATGGCATGTGGCACAATATGGATTTTGCTGAATTACTGTAAAACAAACAATCACTACAACTCATCTTCTTGTCTCTGCATCTCTTAGCACGCGTAGCTGTATAGTGAGAGTGACAATACCTAAACAGAAGTCTGTTTCCAAGTTTCTCAAAAGTGGAATCGAATTACTATCAAGTTCTGACACTCTCACACAGCAGCTATTTGTGCTAAGAGGTGACCTTGAGGTGTTACTACTCAGCTTCTGTTTTTTCTCTGTGTTACCTCTTCTGTCTTACTAGGACCCTCTGCCACAGAATTCCTCAGAGTGACACTCCAAATCCAATCCAATGGTAGGACCAGACCCTGTCCCCTGATTTGCCCCTTTGCACCACACTGGTAGTGCAAAGAGACTGAAAAACTGTCCTGCCCTGCCTGTTGGGGCTTTTCTAGCATGGGGGGAATCACTGGATGGTGCACAGCTGGCAGAAACAGGTCTAGGTTCCATCCTCTTTTGATCCACTGGTATAGAGAGACTTGCAGATTGCCTCTGTACTCTGGCAATCCCCAGCTGGTATTATGGCCACTGGGGACTGTTATCATCCAACACAAGTTAGAGCAGTAAAGGCCGTTCCAACTTCTGCCAAGAGCTGAACCAGTCCCCAGGGGAGCACAAAGGTGCTGCAAAGATAGCTATACACCCCTTTAGGTCCTGCTCTGAGCACAGCTCAACTAGACTTGAGGAATGGGTCCTTAACTAATATTTGCTTTTTTCTCTTCCCCTCTCCTCATCTCTGTGAATCTCTCTTTATCAGGCTCAGAATGACTTTGCTTTCTGATGCGAGCTACTAACTAATTTTCAGCTGTATGAGGATGTGAGGATGGAATTAGAGGCTCTGGTTGGATTTTTGAGCTGGGCATGTGTCTTGCAATGCTGAGTGTACCGTATATCTTATGTATAGCAACCAAACCATCTTTAATTACATTTAACTCCCACCCGCATCCCAATAACTCTTCCTTGGCCATCTAAGAATTTGCTTAGAGCAGAAGGGAAGTTTTGTTTCAGCAAGTGTAAACAGTTTTCTCAGACTGGGAGCAAGAAACAGCCCTACACGTTGTTCTGAAAAGACTGTGGAAACACTGGATACAGTAGCAGCAGCATGATGCTCCTCTCACATGGATTTAGCCAATGTGACAGCACCTCCAGGTGTTCGAGGGTGGGACTTTCATTAGTGACTGCAATAACCATTAGCACTTACGTTGGTTTTTCTGTTCTCTTAGTAACTGAAAACAAGAGTTTCCACGTGCAGACACATGAGTACCTGCGGGCTTCTCCCCTTGTGCTGTGATCCTGTTGTGCTGTTTAATCTTGCAAATTATGCTGGTCCAGTACATTGGGCTGATTCAGTTTTTGCATATGAGGTCTCCAAGGTCAGTTTCTGGACTTAAAGAAATCATGTTGGATGAGTTGGGAGTTACTATTCAAAAATATTTCACACCCATTTGTCACTGACGTGATGTTGTGGCATGAATTCTGCCTATGAAGAGACAGGTGACAGGTCTGGTTCTCAAAAGATTTCTCTGCCACTCCTCCTCACTGAATGTTTAGTGAATCATCTCCCTAAAGTCTTCCTTTGACATTAGCTGTTTCTTACCCACAGCTCCACAAAAGGCGAATTCCCAAAATAAAAGCAGCATGAAATGCTTTTATGATTCTGCAACAAATATTTATTTAACAAAACGGATGCCACCATCATATCTTCAAAACATAGGTTTATAGTACAAATGTATCAGTACTAGGTTTTCAAAATGAAATCAACATCAAAAGTAAGGCAGGATACTCTTTTGAGTTTTCATGCAAGAGCATATTCAAACGTTCCTTTATCAAGACCCTCGACTTCATCTTCCCAGGTGGAAGATGGCATGCTACTATACGGGTCCAGTAAGATTTTGAAGCATCTAATAATAAGTAGTCCCAAGAAAACACACAGAATCCCTACGAAGGCAAAGCCAGTTTTTTGCTCTAAAGTCAGTGAGAAGGCAGACACTTCGCTGACACTCATGCTGGCTGAAGCGTTGCTGCAGTAGCTACTGCTCATCATTGGGCGTCACATACTGGTGAGTCTTCGGGATTTTCACTCGTATTCCTTCTTTGCCTGTACACAAAAGTGGAATCAGTTTGGTTATGGCCAAATGTAACATAGATCTCTGAGCTATTATCAGCATAAAAAACAAAACCGCATGGGCGTTAATAGTGAAAGTACATTTTTGTGCACCCAAATCAGCCTGGCAACACTGTCATTAGAAATTGGTAGTCAAACAAAAGCTAGTTGGAGTTGCTAATCCTGACAATGACAATGAAAAACTGATCATTTACTTGCTTGTCCCCCCACCCAAAATAGAAAACTACTGGCCAGGGGCATGTGAAATTTTGCAAGGCTGCTTTAAATGGCATTTTATCAGATTGGGCAAAATCCTGCCAATCTTCATCAGGTCAGAGCTCGCAAGACCTCCATGTGCAGAGTTAAATGGGAAACTTATGCTGGAGAGCTTGCAATATCAGTATCTGAGTCCTTAATCTGGCGAAACACCCGTTGACTTCAATGAGCATTTCACCTGAGTCAGACTGATGGATTGGGCCCATGTATTTTAGCCTAGAACTCTAACTGCAATAAACCAAACGTACAGAATGAAAATGTCATTTTTATATAATAGTGTTGGGCATCTTATTGTTTGGGCTCCATTTTCAGACAAATGCATGTATTTGCATGCCTAAAAATGCTTGTAAAAATGACTGGCTGAACGTTTAACTTCTCACTAATCATGTGTATGTGTAAGTAGTGTTAAATGCAAGCTAATGTACTTGTGTAGTTGCGTACTTGCTTTTCTGAATACCACCTGCCCTATGCGATTGTCATCATTAGTGCATAAACCTTATTAGAGTCTGGGTGGGGCACAGACTGTCAAAAGCTACATTCAGATTTGCAGGCTGAGCCATGTGCCAGCTCCCCAGGGTACAAAGTGTATATGTCCCCACCAAACTGAAATTAGAAATCCCTACACCCATTAGTGTATGCGGAAAGGTTAATGGAAGAAGTGAGAATACAAATCTTTTTCCTTTCCCTCATTATGCTCTTCTCTTCACCATTATTTTCCCTTTTAAAATATTGCTGTTCCCCAAGACACTGATTTAGGAGCCTTAAAACAGCTTCTTCATTCAAAGGATCATTTATAAGCAGTACACAAAGGGCCCAATCCTGCATTCGTGGCACTTTAAAAACATCCACTGACTTCACTGGCAGTTTGGGCGGGAGAGTGCAAGGAATGCAGAAGGGCCCAAAATACACAGGGCCAAATTATGGTTTGCCCTTGCATGAGTGCAGTAGTCTGGGAAGAGCGTGCAGGGAACCCTTTCTCCTTTCTAGTGCACTCACGCTGGAGGTAGCCCATGCTGGGATTTGTGCTCCCTTAGTGTGGGTGGAAGGAGTGAGGAGGGGCTCGCTAGCCCATGTAGTGACAGTAGAGGCTGCAAAGAGGGGTGGCAAAGTGGGCTAGGGAACATGGCCAGGGCCCCACCCATACACTCCAGCTGATGCCTTGAGACTGCTGCTGGACTGAGCACACATTCCACCATTTTTAGAGGTGTACAAGTGACATTTCTGAACATGCTTTCTCCTGTGCTCTTGGGAGCAATACACCTGCCTTAGCCTTACATGGGCATTATGTTCCAGCCACTTCCACTCAGGTGCCACACCTGCCTCATCACCACTGCCACAATTCAGCAGACCTCAAGGTGTCAGAGCATGATAGATGATTTGCAAAGGGGAAAGAAATTGGACTCCCCCCCTTTTTTATTGGCTTCTTTATAATGATAAAGAAGGCCAAAGAGGTTTCTCTTCTCTTCATAATTTTTGTCTGCTTGGTTTCCTGTTAGAAACGGATATCCTGCCTACCCTGACGACTCTATGGACAACTAGAGAACTGGTAGGATTATAACATAGCAAGTACCAAGGGGGGGGGGTCATTTTTAGGCTGATTATTTGTTTTTGTTGGCTGTTGTTAACACCTATTTAACTAAAACACTTGGGGAAAACATTCCTTGTGTTCAGCACCCTTCCTTCAAGGAAGCTCCCATTACAAATTTCAAAGTCATCCCAGAAATCTTCTAGCTGAAAAACAAACAGCAGCCAGTAAAAGATTCTTGTTTGGATCCTCTCTTTTCCTCCTGATAACCTCCATTTTTCTTTATATAGATCATAAAGAACCAAAATTAAAAAAACAGCCAAAAACAGGGAGGGGAGAAGAGAAAAGGGCAGAAACCAAACCTATTTTTTTCTTTTTCAGCTTCCATTTAACTTAGTCCATAATAAGGAGTAAGGATAAAACGGAAGGAAGGAAGGAAGGAAGGATACAGTTAAAAACTGGGACGGATCTTTAGATGATGTGAATCAGCGTAGAGCTATTGACTTCTTTGGAATTACACTGGTTTATACCCATTGGATTTGGCCCTACAACCTGCACCTGTTTTAAGGTTTGGAAAATGTTGGTTTAAGCACCTCACCACCACCCTCTCTTTCCTTTCCCTGACTCCCAGTCCAAACCTCTGCACGTTGTTCATTAGCAAAATTCATTCCTCTTACTTAGAGGCTTGTCCATCAGAGCCATGAGATCTTTACTCCTGTTGAGTAATGTCTTGTTCTGTGATTTATGCCATTGAACCAAAGGGTACAACTTGCGGGGTGTGGTGCTACTTGGTGAGAGACAAAGTGCCAGTATATGGCCCATAGTAACCAAAAATAATGTCAAGAGCAATTGAATGACAATAATTGATATCTATATGAAGAAAACAAATGAAATAGATGAAACCACCTGATTCACACGTTTTCATGTAAGGCACGTTTCCAGTTTTTCCAGGAGGTTTAACAGCTGCAGAGATTGGAAAGTAAAATCACAGAATTCTCAAATTGTTACCCAAATCAGTTATATGTACCAGGATCCAGCCAAGAAGAAAGTTCTCCTTCCAGGAGTCCAAGGACACTGGGAAATTAAAAAATGAAAGGCTTAGACTGGGAAATGATTTGTACACTAAAGCAAGAAGACATAGTGCCAGAAAATAAAGTACACCCATAAAAGACACAGAAGTCTCTGAGACAAACTATAGCCCAGGTTCTGCAATTGGGTCTGCAGGAGCGGGACACTTGTGCCTATGTGAAGCCCATAGAAATCAGTGGGTCTCTGCTTGGGTGCAGAGGTCTGTGCCCCCCAACTCCCAGAGGAGCATAAACTCCCAATCTTGCAGTCTTACTCAGGCAAAATTCTCTCCCATTGGAGTCAATAGGAGTTTTGCCTGAGAAACGAGTGCAGAAGCAGGATCCAAGATAAGATACAGTTTACAAACCAAACCAAACCAGGAAGTAACACCATTTATTTTAATGAGGTAGGATGATCACATAATTCAGGAATGAAGAAGAGACACATATGACCTGTGTTAAAGCACCAACAGCAGTATTATGCCCTGGAACCTATGGCTTAATTAATAGGGTTAGACCAATATTTGGGCTGATTTCTCACACGGGCTAGGAAACAGGCATTGCTATTGGTCCTTGCATGCTTGCTCTACTATATGTTTGCTATTAGCCCATACTGATATTATTTTATTTATTTATTATTCAGTTCATCATCACTGGCAATTATGGGTCAAATCTTCGGCATGCAAAGCCTGAGTAAATTGGCAGGGAGTACAAGGAAATGCATACAGGACTGAGGAACAGAATTCTTGGCCCCAACCTGCGGTAGTGGGGTGGAATGGCTCTGTGGGTGCCATTGGCTAAATGGAGTAATAGTGTATATTTCTTGTGCAGGGGCCTTGGGCCTGTCAATCCATATTGTGCCTCTCTGTTGAGCCCTGAGCTCTCTTTCTCCCCATCCTGAGCAGCAGAGATGTAGTATTTCCACTGCATTTCAGGCCTTGCATACTCACAGATTGGAGTGGAAAATTTTGTCCTAAATATATACCATATAAAGGTAAGATTTTACTTGTTTGGGGGACTGGGATACGTTTACATTGTAAATCTGTTTGCAGATTGGCAACTGAGGGCTGCAGCCAGCAGTTATGCATACATAATGTCATCTGCTCTAGAGTATGTCTGAAATCACAAGCAAAAAGACCATGAATGCTAGAGGGCCCTAATCCAACAAAGTATGTAGGTAACCACTAGGTCAGAGATCAGGGGCATGCATTATAAGAACTAGAACTTGTAGGGTCCATTTGTCAGGAGGTGCCACCAAACCTATACCTATTTGTACAGTTTCTACAATTTGCTTCCATGTAGTTTCACTCAACTGCCCCTCAAATTGGGAGAGGGGAGAAGCAAGGATCCCTGAATAGCCTGCTGTGGTGGAAAAGGCCATCTGATGCCCCTTCAAGACCAGAAAGGAGGCCACCAGGAAGCAGGAGTGGTACAAATGCCCCACTCCCATAGATGACGTAGGTAAGTAGAGGGTGGGAAGCAGCTGGGTGTTGCTGGATAAATGGTGCTAAGGAGGTCAAAAGATGGTAGTGAGCACTGTATAGAAGCCTAGATAAATAGGTAGATAAATTGGAGTGCCTAAGATTATTGTAACAGCATCTACCCATATCCACCAAATGTTTGTGGACCCAGGCTGATGTTTAAAGTTTCATTAGAATCCAACCCTGATTATGGGTGGTTTGAGGGTTTCAATATGAACTTTTTGTGCAACCCTAGTTACCCACCTTCACATTTCCAGACTTTAGAAAAAGAAAGTGTCAACAGTAATTCCAGACATTCTCGGGAAAGGGTCTGAGAAGTCTGACCACAGCCTCCATAGGTTGCTGATTACAAGACTTCCTCAAGAGTCTTCCTCACATGCTGGATATTATTAGCCTTACCCTCAAAAACAAACAGGTTTTGTTGTAAAGATCACCGTGTAAGGGCCCAATCTGGGGAGGTGCTGAGTACACTTAAGTCCCACTGAAGTCATCAGGAGTTGAGAAGACTCAGATCCTTGCATGATCAAGCCCGGGTTGACTGAGAATTCACATTACATATTACAACCTAGGTTAAAAAACTAATTGTGCTTAATGAGTTTCAGGTGACTCCTGTAAATCACAAGTTTCACCTAATAGTAATAAAAAGTCATTCCTGCTGCCATGGTACTCAGATAGTTATCATTCAGGAAGTACTGGAGGTTGCATGGCTGAAGCAGTGGTGCAGTGACCCCATCATTCTGATGATGCTTCAAATGGCCTGGATTCTAGATTAATGCTTCTAAGAATTTTTAAAGGCATTTAGGTGCCTAAAGATGCTGACAGGCACCTAGTGGGATTTTCAAAAGCACTTAGGTGCCTGTATGCATCTTTATTCATAGATTCATAGATTCTAGGATGGGAAGGGACCTCGAGAGGTCATCGAGTCCAGTCCCCTGCCCGCATGGCAGGACCAAATACTGTCTAGACCATCCCTGATAGACATTTATCTAACCTACTCTTAAATATCTCCAGAGATGGAGATTCCATAACCTCCCTAGGCAATTTATTCCAGCGTTATCTTTAAAAACCTGGCTCTGGAGGAGTGGCACTTCAGGGTGGTACCATTGCTGTAGCAGGAATTTGAAGGCAGTAATGAAGGGAGAGGATTAGTGATGGGTACACCTCAAAAAGTTCTCTCCAGTTTCCATGAATTTGGAAGTTTATCCAAACCATCTGGACCACTCTGAGATGACAACACTGGTCTGGAAATGTCACAAGAACAGCTCTGTGACTGCAGAGCCAACCTCACTTCAGTTAATATGCATACTGCATCCCTAAATCATTGCAGGAAAGTCAGCCTCTTCTTCCCACCCTATCCAGCCAGCAGGTCACGATCCCAAACCTGGCATTCAAGAGAGTCTTATGCAGGGAGCCCAATGCCATGCTGCCCAGCACTGTTTGGTATCAGAAGGGTGTAATTAGCCATTCTGAGAGTGTAGTAGGGCCAGGCGTGGCCTGCAGTATGTAAGCACAGGACATACTGCATCTTTTTGGAGCAGCAGTAAATTCCATTCCACTGTGCATTCCCCTGCAAATCTGAGCCAGCAAGAGATTGCCACCTCCACCCCTCAAATATACAAAGTATTGTAAAGATAAGATTTTACTCCTAGTAAATGTACAATACCTAGAGTATCCATTTGGTGGTAGATCCTGCGCTCTGTAATGCACTTTTTATTCTTATGAGCTAGGGATGTCTGGATAAGTGAGAAACAGAATAGGAAAAAAAAAGATTCAGTGTCATCATCCTTGGACTTGTGAACATAAAATAATGCAGTACACTGGCTATGAGCATGTAGTATAATTGTACCATAAAATATGGAGTATCTGCAAGGCAACTGTTGATATACAGTTATATCTATAGCTTTCACTTCTCTTTGGCATCCTTTTGCACTAGGACACTTATGTATTTACAAAAACATAGATTTCAGTCTATAATCATTTATGGCAAATTTCAAGGAGCAGTATTGAAAATCAACATTTAATTTCTGTAAAAACTACCTGCTTTGTCTTACCCTAACAGAGGCTTTCTCTGAGAATATCCCTTACCTGGCCATAATACAGTCATTAGCTGCATTATTAAAAGCAAATCTACAGCATAGCTAGGAAATCATAACAAAACAGCATAGCAAGCTCAAGATATCCTGCAGAATTTAAACAGACAAAACCAGTGCAATTCTCCAGCCAAGATGTGCACAGCTCCCCACCCTTCTTGTTTTCTAACTAGACAGAGAAGCATCTTTATCGAATGAAAACCTAGCAATACAAACCCCGTTCTTCCTTGTCCCCTCTCCCCATGCTGATGAACTGCCGAAGTTGCAGTGGCTCACAGTGTAGGTTCTCAAGCTGTTGAGAGCTCAGGATTGAGCCTATGACTGCTGGGATTCTCCCTTGTGGCCACAAACCCAGTGAGACTCCCCAAGCTACACATCCCCAGCAACCCCCTCCGGAGGCTCTAGGGGTCATCGGTGGGCGTTTCTTCAGACGGATGGACGCATCGCTCGGGGACTCCTCTCCAAACACTTGGGTGAAGATGCGGTTGGAAATTCTCGAACTGGGTTAAAAAAGAAAAAGAAAAAACCCTTTCGGATGATTCAGCCCCGCTTCCCTCCAACCCCCCCCCTCTACCGACTGAACTGAAGAAGTATGGAAACTTCCTGCAAAATACTACGTGAGAGGCATCAGCAAATCTTTGCTGCACACCCATCCAGATGCTGCAGCAGCCGCAAGAGCGGCTGCCCAGCGATTTCTCTCTTGGCTCACCGGAGCCTGCAGCTACCATCCCTCCTGAAACACGAGGTTTTGGGACATGGCATCTGGAGGCACAGCAGCACCTCTGTTGAGGTGTCAGAGGGGTCCTTATCGTGCAAGCAACAATGTCACGCAGACAAGGGTTTTCTCACGGGCTGGTTTTCAAGCAAAGCAAGTGAAAGCGGGGAGGCGGGATTTGAAATTGACTAAGGTGTTCTGTGGCTATCTGCACTAAATTGCTTATTTCCAGAACAATGCGGGGGCTCTCGCCTTTCATTCTGTGTGGGCTATCTGAATTATTTAGGTCGGTTAATTTAGCCCTCGGGTGCAGTCTGGTTCAGTAGAAAGCGCGGGTATATAATCAGTGCACTGTGCTAACATCCTAGCCGCATCAGCCCTGGATCCCCCGAGGGAGCGGTCAGACTTTCGATCTCACGCTTTCTACCATCTAGTGATTAATGAGACCGGAAGAGCCATGTTAAATACCCCGGGTCCAAATCCTGCTCTCCTGCAAGCAACTGGTGTGGAGTAAATGAGCAAGATGTAGGCATGTAGCCCATAACATTCAACTGGTTTCTGTGAGGTCCGGGGGTGAGCTGAAGAATGCTCTCGTCTTATTTTGTGTCTACCTCTGGCATTGCCAGCACCCCTTCTCCCAGCAGTTTAATAATAAATAATTATTAATAATAATCATGTCCTGGAGCTGTCATTAGTGCTGAAGCTTCTTTGCCGAGTTTGTGCCTAAGTTACATATGTCTTGTAGATCTCTGTTTGCAAATATAAATTTAAAAAATAAGGATTCCACTTGCCATATTAGAAGGTGGTATTAACATGTATGTGGCTACCAGATGAAGAATTATTTTAAGTTGTTTTAACTTTAATATATTATGTTTTAATATATTAAATTTAAAAAAAAACCGCTCAGGCACATTTTAACCAATCATTCCATTTCCGTGCATTCCAGTAATTAGGCACTGCATTGGAAATTCATACTGATTTCAGTGGCACAGGACAGGTATCCAAGTAAGTATCAAGGATGACAAGGTTTGCAGTTACACTGGCTAGCTGAACACCTCAGGTATGTGCTGAAACACAAGGTTCAAGGGTAAAGACAGGGGAAGTCCTGGTATAAATGCATATCTTGAAAGGTTTTTTAATTGCTTTAATTAAAATAGAGTTTTAACTATTGTTAAATAAATACAATAAATATAATTTGTGAAGTTATTTTTTCTGAGAAAATGGGGGGAAGGTTTTTTCCTGCTGTGTATTGTTATGTTTACATATTAATCATTTTTTTCATTGTTTGTACAGCACCTAGCACAATGGGGGGGTCCTAAGACTTTGGGCCCTCTCACAGGGCCGGTGCAACCATTAGGCGAACTAGGCGGTCACCTAGGGTGCCAAGTGGTTGGGGGCGTCCAAGATTTTTCCTCCCTCCCCTCCCTTCCCCTCACACAGAGTGCGGTGTGGCGGATTGGGCGCCTGGCCTGATTTAGCCGCTCCCATTGGCCTCCAGCAGGCAGAGCCCCTCCCCTATTCCCCCCCTCCCCTTGCCTCAGTGTCGTGTCGCCAGCACACTGTGGGGGAGGGGCTGTGTGCTCCGCAGCCTGTTTGTTTTGGCTCCACGTGGAGTCAGCGGCTGGAGCGGCATGGTGGTAAGGGGAATCCCAGGGGGGCTGTCAGGGGGCGGGGGGAGAGTTGGATGGGTCGGGAATTCTGGGGGGGTCTCTCAGGAGGCGGGGAGTGGTTGGATGGGGCATGGGAGTCCCGGGGCGGGGGTGTGGATAAGGGTTGGGGCAGCCAGGGGACAGGTAGGGGGTAGGGTCCTAGGGAGGCAGATAGGGTGGGGGGTCTCAGGAGGGGGCAGTCAGGGGACAAGGAACAGGGAGGCTTAGATAGGGGGTGAGGTCCTGGGGGGCAGGTAGGGGCAGGGGTCCCAGGAGGGGGCAGCCAGGGGACAAGGAGCGGGGGGGGGAAGTGGGAGGGAATGGATGTGGGTGGGGCTCTCCCCCTGTCCTCTTTTTTGATTGTTGAAATATGGTAACCCTAAAAAAGCGGTGCCCTGGCTCAGCAGGGAGGAGCCACCTTCCGTAGGCACCGGAGAGCCAGAGTGTCGGCTTGCGGGGGTGGCGAGCCCCAGCCATGGAAGAGCCGGCGCGGCACAGGGGATCAGCAGCCCTGCAAAGGCAGCGGCACCGCTAGCGGGGAGCAGCCGCACCCCCTACCCCTCGTGCCCAGGCTGCGGCCCGGCGCGCCCCCCCCTCGGGGGCTCCTGCAGGCTGCAGCAGTTACATGTGGTTGGAGGCCCCTGTGCGCCCCCCGGCTCCCCGCTCACCGTGCTCGGGCTCTGCAGCTCCCAGGCATGTGAGCTACCGGAGCGCAGGGCCCTGAGCCTATTCTGGGAGGGGCAGCGGCAGTGGCAGCTCACACTCCCAGGAGCCGCAGAGCCCGAGCGTGGCAGGGGGGAGCCGGGAGGCGCACGGGAGCTGCTGCCCGCATGCATCCACTGCAGGAGCCCCCAGAGGGGGCACCAGGTGGGTTGCAGCCCAGGCAGGCGCACCCCCCGGCTTACCCCTCACCGCGCTCGGGTTCTGCGGCTCCCAGGCCTGTGAGCCGCTGCTGCCCCTTCTGGAGCAAGCTCAGAACCCTGTGCCCCGGCAGCGGCTCACAGGCCCGGGAGCTGCAGAGCCCGAGCACAGCGAGGGGAAAGCCGGGGGGCGCATGACGGGCCTGCATCCGCTGCAGACTGTAGGAGACCCCGGGAGGGGAGTGCCCGGCCGCAGCCTGGGCAGGAGGGGCGGGGGGCGCAGCTGCTCCCCGCTAGCCGCACCACAGCTTTTGCAGGGCTGCTGCCCCCCTCTGCCGCGCCGGCTCCTCCATGACTGGGGCTCGCCGCCCCCGCAAGCCGATGCTCTGGCTCTCCGGTGCCTCCAGAAGGCAGCTCCTCCCTGCCGAACTGCTGCAGTGGCCCAAGCCCGGCAAAACCAGTAAGTGGACTCGGGGCGGGGACTGCCGGTGTGGAGTGGGGAGGGCTCATGCGGGGCGGGCTGTGCACCCTCCAGGGGAGTTCAGGGGGGCAGGGAGGGGGGAACCTGGTCTGGGGAGCAGCCCCTGGGCACAACTGGCTCCTGGGCAGGCTGGCCCCTGGGGTCTATAAAGGCTCGTTGGGATTTGCCCCTCAATGAACCGATGTGTGGGGGGGAGAGGGGGGCGCAAGGTGGAAGTTTCCCCTAGGGTGCAAAATATCCTTGCACCAGCCCTGCCCTCGCATAATAGAAATGTTTACTACTACTACTAAAAATCTGTGTGATTGTTATCCTGTAATGGCCCTTCATGATCACAGAATGAACAATGTGTATTACGGAAAATGTTACATATATAAAATTAATCTTTAAAGGGATTATTATATGTAAAGACACTTGGTCCCTTTAAAAACAGATTTTTTCAAAGGATATGATGGGCCAGACTGTGCCTCCAAAATATATTCGTGAAGGGGGCCTTCTGTGAGTGGTTCTCCCCTGCTGCCTCCGCAGCACCACCACCCTTTTTCTGGGACCCTGCAAAAGGCTCTCCATGAGTTAAGATTTGCATAGAGGAGAAATGGGAAGTCAGCAGGTTTAGGCTAGTCATTGGGAGGGTCCGCTTTATCTCCTCAACAGTTCAGCAGCATTTACTAGGGAGAGGTAATACAGCTCCAGGCTCTTCTACTAAGCTCTGTTACCTCTTCTGTTGAACGTCTTGACACAGCAGAATCATCCTTTAAGTGGGCCTTCAGATAGCTGGGGCCAGAGAAGGAGCTGATGGTATGGCTCCATTGGATGTAGCTGTGCTGGCTGCGAATCAGGGGAGGGGCAGGCCTGAGCCCAGGGCCGGCCCACAACATTTTGGCACCTGAGGCGGGGAGCTCAAATGACGCCCCCATGCCCCCTCGCTTGGGCCAATACTTTGAAAGGTCTCAATTCTGCCTTCTTCCAGTTCTACTCCTCTCATGGTACTGCTCTGCTACCTACCCCAATAAAGGAGAACTAACAACTTAAAATGCGTTGTTCAAAAATTGTAAGTAATACTTAACTTTCAAACGCCTCAACAGCAAATGTAACTTTTCTTGTCTGCATAGTAAACACTGGCATTTTTATCTGTTTGAATAATCAAAGGGGTGCTTTCTTGGTTGCAAAGATTTGAACTGTTTCCTGAAGGTCCACAGTCTGGGCCAGCTCATGCTCTATTATTGAGATGGTTGCAAGTCCGACCAGCCTTTCCTGTGTCATTGTGGGTGTAGATGTGTTTTATTAACTTCAGCTTGGAGAAGCTGCGTTCTCCACTGGCAACTGTTACAGGAAGTGTTAGAAGTATGTGCAGAGCAACAAAAGCATTTGGAAAGAGGGTGGTCATCTTATTTGTGCACATATATTCATTCCAGAACAGCCTTTGGAGTTGATCCTGCTGAAATGTATCTTGAAAGGGCTTTCAGTTCATCACCTAAATCACTCGCATCAATATCGTGCATGTCATCATATGTCAACACTGTCTCTAGTGCCCTGCATTGCTGGTGTAGGTCTTCTTCAGGTAGAGTGAGGAGTTTTGGAATATCATACAACATCCCAAATATACTGCTGTGTTCCTTGAGCTGCATGAAATGTTCTTCAACTGACTGTATTGCACAATCTAGCACCTGGTTAAAGAATTCAACTTTGAATTGTTGTTTGGGGTCTCTTATGGGATTATTGTGCCTTGTAATCAAAATGTCTTTTTCTTCGGTGACTCTTGTATTCTTGAATGGGTGGGAAAATAGCTTCAGTGTGAAGTTCCTCTGCCAACTTCTGTGCAGTCTTCAGAACGTTTTGAAGTCCCTCAT